AAAAAAGGCACCTGCATTTCATTCTCTTCCCTACACCCCCGCCCACCCCCCAACCCCCTGAGGGAGGCAGGCCTCTGAAGGCATGCCTACCCTGTTCTGCGCAGACCCCATCCTGCTTATGTGCCTCTGCCAGGTAGTGGGTGACTACTCACTGGTGGAAAGGGACGCTCAGGGGCTCCAGGGCCGACACCGGAACCAAGCCGCGCTGGCCAGTCACTAACGACACGCCTTCCCACTCTGGTTCCCCTTCCGAGATTTTCACCGAAATCAGTTCGTTCTTGCTCAGTCCCAAACACTCCCCTTCCTTCTCCGCTGGCTGAGCCACAGAGCAGGTGGCTCTGCAGAAGAAGTGACCTGGAGGTAACGAGAAAAGCCCTTTCCCAGGTGTAGCTGGGAGCGAAACGGGGTGTGGGGCGGTACTCTGCTACCCAGAGTTCAAATATGTTTACTCCTAGGAGTAAAGCTGACTGTCCAAGAGGAGGCGCTCCAAGAAGTCCGTCAGCTCTCGGGAAGACTAGCAGGAAAAAAGCCATGGAGAGGGAATTCACTTAAAATAGACAGCAACGTTTCTGAGCAGTTTGTGAGAAAAAGGGCATGCTTGGAACTCTACCTTGAAGACGAGATGAAATAAACACTTAGGAAAATATATTTGTATTTTACAGAACTTCACTTATAATTATAACCTCACACTTAATCCTAGAGCCAACAAAGAACAAATTAATTTGATGTGGGTAAATGCAATTATTGCAAGTTTTGTAACAGCACAATATGAAGCTCCTTCCTTCATAAATGATTCATGCAAAGCAATCGTAAGAATGGACACCAGCTCCTCCCCTGGGGCGTGTTGAGCTGGTGATGGAGTCTAGGTGTGATGGCCCACGCCTGTAATTCCAGCACTAGGGAGGCTGAAAACAGGAGGATCACTATGAGTCTGAGCTGTGTAGTGAGCCTGCACACACACATAAAAAAGAATCGCTTTGGTGAAAATATCTTATGCAACTCTGGTGTCTGTTAGGCCATCAGACCTGACCATATACCGGTCTAAGGGCATCTTCACTTGTGAACAGATCAAGGGGTAGACCAACATCACTTCATTCACTTTCAGGAAATATTTCAGATTTCATAAGATTGGAATTTATTTTAAAATCAAATTATATCACATGGGGATACAACTCAGTGGCTCAAGCACTTGCCTGGAAGCACGAGGTCCTGAGTTCAATTCCCAGTGCAAAAACAAACAGTTATGTCACACGTTTATGTATGGGTTCCTCAATCTTAGATATCATCAGAATTATGTGGAAAATTTTTAAAAATTGAAAATGGCCCACCTCTAGAAATTTAACTGGCCTACGTGGATCCTTGCTACAGACATCTTTTTGAAACTCCCCAAGTAGCTCTACTACCAATGAGTAAGGCAAAGCGGAGGAGCTGCTCACGTGGTGTCAGTGTTGATCTGAGCCGTTTCAGCACTATTGTAAAGCAGGTAGTAGGGTCACTGGTGAAATTTTCCTGCTTAAATGATTTTTGCCCCCTTTGCATCTTAATTATTTCAGGTGTTCTGATAAATATTCAGATGAGTTCCCATGCCCGCCTGTAGCCGTCCTCACCTTCCTGTATCAGGAGACTCAGATACATGGTTTCCAGATGTTTGTCATCTACAGACACTTGGATCTCTGTGTCCTCCGCCACTCTGCAGTTAAGCCAGTACTTGTGGTCAAAGAGGAGGTACTCCAGACATGTGGACACATAGCCTAGAAGTTAAGCCAGCAAGGTAAGTTCTACCCTCCATGGACCATGGAAGGTTCTGACCTTAGCGGACCACAAATATATTTTCAGCATCTGTTGGAAAATACAAGTTGTGCTTAAAGATATTTACCATTTTTAGCATCTTATGCATCTCTATAAGTGCATAATGAGCTGGCCAAACCTAATTTGCTTTTTTTTAAGTCCTGAAAGTCTCTGTTTCAGGTGCTTTCCCTGGGGCTTCCTGGTCTCCCCATGAAGTTCTCTCGACCTGTGATTCAAATCTGTGTGCCCCAAACAATGGAATGACCAAAGCTCCACAACCAGGGGATTTAGGATCCACTTCAGTTTCCCTGCTCTGACCCTGAGCCTCATCCAATGAGTGCTCAGTGCTCAGTAAGCTCTGCCTTGTTAAAAGCTTTTTTAAAGGGCCAGGGGAGATGGCTCAGTACAATAAGCGCTTGCCTGGCAAGCACAAGGGTCTGAATTCAATCCCCAGTTCCGAAAAAAAAAAAAAAAAAAAAAAAGAGAGAGAAAGAAAATCATAAAATTTAAATAATTATATATAGTACATCAACATGCACTGAAATGTGAGTTATTTGTATTAATTTTTTTCTTCTCTTCCCTGTTTCTCCCCTTTCTGAGTGCCCGTCATACTGACTTAAGACTGCATACTTCTACCACTGTGCTTCTCGAACTTTCAAGGACACACAAGAGATGTTCTTGAAACATAGATGCTGATTTGGTAGGCCTAGGATGGAGCCCGAGAAACTACTTTCCTAGAGGCCGCAGGTGATGCTGATGCAGCCAGTCCATAGGACATGATCTGAATACTAAGGATCTTTACCGCCCACAGAAGAGGTGTAATGGGAAGGGCATCAGATCGCCTGCCCTTGGCCTCGCCCTCCAGCCTTGCCCAGTGTTTCTTCCTTGGACCTCTGCATGGTTCCCTGAATTTTCTGGGGCACATCAGACACTCATCCAGTTGGGCAGTGTTCCTTGGCCTGGCTTCAGTTGGCTTTGATCTATCTCAGTATTTTCAATTTAGTAGATGGCAAAATTATTTGCCAGTTGACTCATAAATCTCTCCCAGGACAAAAGAAAGCAAATTCCCCACAAGACTTTTTCAGTAACAGTTACTATTGACTCTGGATTCAGTTTCAGGCAGTTCATGATATTCCAAAAGTTAACACTTCACTTTAGACTCCTATCCTTTTCAATCATCAGGACTTAGCCAATTCTTTTAGTATCAACCCCTACCTACAACTGGCTGAACCATGAGGTGAGTCTTCCCCCTCCTGCGAGCCCCATCTGTGTCATACCTAAATCTAGGTAGGTGGAGAACTTCCAGATTTCCTCCATGGTCTTGAAGGTGATCAGGAACTGGGCCCTCTGGGACTGGATAGTCACCAGCCTTGCGGAGAGATCCTGAACAGAGAGCAGATATCAGCCCAGAAGGACAGTGTCTTGTTAACAAGTTCACCTCACCTGAGGACCTAACATGCTAGAAGGACTTCTTGGTCATGGTGTTGATTTTACACAACAAAATCAAGAAAAAA